CTCTGTCTTACACACATTTTACAGATCCTTTATACACATTCAGACAAAGGCCCTTGCCGTGTTAACACTTGATTGGTGGTTGTCAGACCCGTGCTTATGCTATCTGGTCAGTGAAAACCGGCTTGGGACCAGCTTCAACCTTAAGGTCTTGAAAGGGAAGACAGATGAAAAGTTCAGACTACTGTGTACTTGAAGTACACAGTACTTGAAGCCCCAATGGCTGCTGGCTGACATAACAGCTACTAGCTGTTAAGGGGGGGGTCACTAGTAACTTTCACATGGTGAAGCTGCCCAACCGGGCTCACAGCCACTGGGGGTACCATGGCAACATGATGGAGCCGTACTTTGATAGGGAGAGGTTGGGTGCTGGCCATATATGGGAAGGGAAGAAGAAGTGGGGAGATCCCCTGGTGGATCTCTTCTCTGAGACAGGAGCCGGGCTCCCACTAGAATTAATTCCCCTCTCTGACCAGCTAACCCCTGCCCAGCAGGCACAGATCAGAGTGGTGCTGCGTTCTCACCAGCCGCTGTTCCCCAGCAGGCCTGGGTTCGCTAACATGGATGTCCACTGGGTGGAGATGGAAGGCAACCCTCCCATCCGGTGTTCCCCATTCAGAGTCACTGGGAAAACAGTCCAGGAACTGGGAAAGAGAAATCAGAGACATGCTGGCCTTAGGGGTGATCCAGCCGTCTGCCAGCCCATGGGCCTCACCTGTGGTGCTGGTGCCCAAGAAGGATAGATCATTCAGATTCTGTGTAAACTGTTGGAAGCTTAATGCCATCACCGTGTCCGATGCCTACCCCATGCCTAGGCCTGATGAGATCCTGGACAAGTGAGAGGGGGATGTTACCTCACTACTGTGGATCTCACCAAGGGCTACTGGCAGGTGCCTTTGGACCCAAACATCAGGCTGAAATCTGCCTTCACCACCCCAATAGGGCTCTTTGAGTTCCTGGTCCTACCTTTCAGCCTTAAGGCTGCCACATTCCATACCACCTGATGGAACAATTGCTATGGGGATGGAGAACTTTGCCCTGTCGTTCATTGATGACATCTGTGTCTTTAGTCAGATCTCGGAGGAACACATGTCCCAGGTGAAGAGGGTGCTGGGTCACCTCTAGGAGGTAGGACTGACTGTAAAGGTTAAAAAGTGTAAAGGGGGAAGGCTGAGGTGTCGTACCTGGGCCACAAGGTGGGGAGCGGCCACATAAGGCCAGAACCCACCAATGTGGAGGAGATCAGGGATTGGCCCATTCCCCAAATGAAGAAACAGGCACAGGCTGTTATTGGGATGGCAGGGCACTACCGGAGGTTTGTACCTGATTGTATCACCTTAACAGCCCTCATCACTGAACGATGTAGGAATGGCAAGCTGGACAAAGTGGTCTGGACAGAGCACTGTCCCTGCCCTGAAGGAGGCTCTAAGCCAGGGCCTGGTTTTGGTAATTCCTTCCTGGTGTTCCCAGATACCTCAGACACAGGGCTGTGTGGTGCTGATGCAAGCTGATGCTCAAAGGGAGAAACACCCGATTGTTTACCTGAGCAAGAAATGTTTTCCCCGGGAGCAGAACTAGGCCATCATAGAAAATGAAAGCCTGGCCATGGTGTGGGCTCTTAAAAAGTTGCAGCCATATCTATTTGGGGGGCACTTTCCTGTGTATATTGACCACACTCCCCTGACATGGCTGCATCAAATGAAAGGGGCTAATGCCAAGTTTTTGAGATGGAGTCTGATCCTCCAGGATTATGATATGGAAGTGATTCATGTTAATGGGAGTGCAAATCTTATGGCAGATGATTTCTCATGGAAAGGGGTACCTGAATTTCCCCAGGTCACTGACTGAAGTGACCCCTCTCGGTTCAGTCTCGAAGGGGGAAGAGATGTGACGAAGTGGGAATTTTTCATAATGTTTTGTATGAATAAGTTGTGTGCCTCAGTTTCCGCTATGTGTTGAATATTTAACTAGATGAGGGGATGATCTGGAACTGTGGGACCGTTGTGCCCCCTGAACTCACTAGCCTGGGGTGTCTTTCACAATGTTGTGCTAGTGACAAGCAGCAAACCCTTCCAGGTGCTGTTATCACTCAATCCAGCAGCATGTGAAGCCCCACATGCACGTAGCTTGTCTGAGTGCTCCCAGAGTCACTCATGAAATCTCACAGAGAAAGGCACCAACCAGATCTGCCCAGCTCCCAGTCTTGTACCTCAGGAATATACTGTCCTGCACTGTTCAAGATCCTTTCTTGAACAATTCAAATGTATTAATTGATTCACCACTTACTTCAAGGGAAAGTGGACATGCACAGCCCTTGTTACCTGAGCAGATTTACCAAACACTTCTGACAAACATAAAAGTAAGTTTATTGACCTAAAAAGATTTTAAGAGGTTATAAGTGATAGGCAAAAAGTTCAGATAAGTTACCAAAAGAAAATAAAAGATAAGCATGCAGTCTAGATCGGGGTGGCCAACCTGAGCTTGAGAAGGAGCCAGAATTTACAAATGTATATTGCCAAACAGCCACAGTAATACATCAGCAACTCCCCATCTGCTCTTTCCCCCATCACGCTCCCAGCGCCTCCCGCGCACCGACAGCCCCACCAATCAGTGCCTCCCCCTCTGTCCCTGCACCTCCTGATCAGCTGTTTCATGGCGTGCAGGAGGCTCAGGGCAGGGGGAGGGGAGGAGGGAGGGCACAGCAGGCTCAGGGGAGGGAGTGGGAAGGGGTGGAGTGGGGTCAGGGCCTGTGGCAGAGCCAGGGGTTGAGCAGTGATCACCCGCTGGCAATTGGAAAGTTGGCACCTGTAGCTGCAGCCCCAGAGTCCGTGTGTATACAAGGCGCCACCTATTAACTTCTGAAGAGCCGCATGTGGCTCTGGAGCCACAGGTTGGCCACCCCTGGTCTAGACTCTCAACCTGGTTAGACTTAGAAAATATCTAGTTTAAGCAGTTTTTTTCACCCTACTGATATTGCAGGTTGGGGACAGTTTTTCTTACATAGGCTTCCTTCCTAGCCTGGGACCAGTCTCCCCAGCTCCATCATTCCCATTGCCTTCAGTCTAAGTGAGGGAGGAGAAAGGACAAACTTTGGTGCCCCTGTGTTCCATTTTATATCTTAGCCATGTGCTCTGGAAGACAAGTCCAAGCATGTCTGGCGGGGGAGAGGGGGGAGGAGGGGAGGAGGAACGACATTGCTGATTCACAGGGTTGAGTAATTCCCTGGTGTGGTCTTTTGCCAGGTGAGTCATTGTGTTCGTCCCTGCCTTGCCCGACAATAGATTGCAATGATCACCAATGCCTGCCTGGTCGCTAACCATTTCCTTTGTCGCTCTCTGTGAGTTGGTTTCTGGCCTACACCCAAACTTACAGCATGCAAATTTCAATGATAATCATACAGCACAATCTTATAATTTCATATGCACTCATGCTACACATAATTCTGTAGAACAATGGTTTTCAGCTGATCATAACCTTTTCCATGATTCCTTTCATGGCATGCTTTACATGAAGTATCACTATTATATACCATTGATGAATATGGGGGGGTTACAGGATGCTCCCCCAAGGTACAGAGTGTGACGGGGGAAGGGCTGTTTTCTCTTTGCAGAGACAAAGAGACACAGGTGTGACCGATGCCTAGCTGCCTGGGGCCTAGGCCCCATGCCCATGGAGAGTCTCAGAAGACAATGGCCACTACAATTGCCTGGATATTTGGCACCTAGCAACAAACAATCATGGATGGCCTAGCTGCCCTAGGAAGCCAGCCGGGTGTCAGCAGGAGAAGGACAAAGGGCCGGGGAGGGGCCAGGTGGGGTTCTTAAGCGTGGGTTTCTGGAGGCAGGGGAGAAGCTTCTGGACAGGGACTAAAGGAGGGTGGGAACTGACCCAAATGGACTACGCTGTAAATTTCTGTTCTCTACATTAACTAAGGACTTTCTATGCTGTGTTCCAGACATTAATAACCTCCCCCTACCTGCTTTTACAACACTGGCTGAAAGTCACTCCAGAGCCAGGAAGTTGGGGGTGCATTGCTCTATTTGGTTGTGCAAGGGTGGACTTGCTGAGGGGAGCTCATGGTGAGAAGCGGGGTTGCTGAAGGCTCCAAAGTTGGGTACCAGGTGGCGGTGAAGCCAAGAGGTATACCCTAGTGAGAGTGTGACCCTAAGGGGGCTGACACACTGAAGGGGTCCTCCCAGGGACTCTTCCAGAGCTGTTCAATAACACCGGACCTGTGGATCTGTGACAGGGTGACTTTGTCATGTTTGTAGCTACAAGTTGTTTCTTATGTCCCTAAGGACATAATGGAGAATCCAAACAGAGTTCAGGTCAGTGTTGTCCATCTAACCAGGGAGGGAAGTGGCCATAAACATTGTCTCATCATAGACTTTCTAACTGGGCACCAGACGGAGTGGAGACAAAATTAACCAATTTTTTATTTCCATAAAAAAGCCATTTCTGATCAAAATAAATGTTATGGGCAATAAAAATACTAACTCTGGTACAGCAGAGATGGGGACGCAAGCCTGGGAAATCTGTCACCCCTGAAATTGTGCTTATTGCCATCATATGCATCTGCAAATCCACCATCTTCACTGTGCTCACACAGACTGGATGTAAACAGCCAGGCCCCAGCAGTGACCTCTGGACACTTCACTAGGAGCAGCTTTATAGCTCTTACCTGGGGTAGACGCGGCTGTGACTAGCTCCAGCAAAGCACCAGCATCAGGCTCACCAGGCCCTTGGAGGCTGGGAGGTTGGACAAACAAAGAGGTAGACTCACGAGCCAGGGCCACTCAGATTGTCCAGACCCAGCTGAGGGGGTTGCCAGGGCACATGTAGAACTGAGGCAATTCCTGGGGTCGGGTCTGTCAAACGGGCACCGAGGAGGGACTTTGCATGTGGTCCTGCAGGGCAGAAGCTGCTCTGCTGCTGCCAACAGCACAGAGCAGTTCAAAGGGAGGGGACTGGTTACGTTGAGCATTCCCAGAACTGACTGCAACAAGTGCCCGTCACAAGAGGGGTAATTCACAGCGCACGATGACTAGCCAGTCCTAAGTGCCTTAGACAGCTCCACTTCATGCAGGGCCCTCCCCTTGGGGCATGAGGCAACCTATGGTGAGATGAAGCGGCTACCACCTACCCATGGGTGGAACTCTTGTGATGCCAAAATGGCAGTGCTGGCTCAGTCACTGGGAGCATGTAGGGCTTGGCCAAAGGCAGGGGAGGTGGACACCGGTGAGAACAGAAGGATTTCAGCACTGCGGGAAGGATTTTCCAAGGGCCCTAATGGAGTTATGCACCCAAATCCCTGTGAAATGGGAGTTGGGCATTTAACACCCTTAGACGCCTTTGAGAATCTCACCTGAAGAGCCGCTGGGATTCTGTTTCAGTAGGTTCAATCTATGCATTTCCATTGAAAACAGAATGATTGGACACCCCTGCTGAACCTTTTGAGGGCTGCTGCTGTTGTTGTAGGTGCTGTTGTCACCACTAATGTTGCAAACATGCTGTTGTACCGTTTGTTTCTCAGTGGCTATAATTTGGAGCAGCGCACACCTAGCAGTAGGTAAGAAATGAGGAAAGATGTGATTATGCTCTCTAGGGTCACTAGAGGGCAGAGGAATGGGAAAGTTGCAGCCCTGCTGACCAATGGCCAATGAATAGCAGCCAAAGCGGAAGGGCAAGAAAGGAGAAATTATGTTGCCAAATGACTACCCGAGGGAAGAGAAAAGGGAGGTGAAGCTGTATAACACTGTATAAGTGGTGAGGAAAGGACCCTGAAGAGATAAGGACCTCTGAGTATGTAATGAACTATAGATAGTAGCAGATGTTG